CCCATGCTACTCTGGCCACAAGGACTGTTTTGTTACTCTAAGCAAATAGTATCAAAAATGTCCTACCTCATTAACTTTGTGCTTGCTGTTCTATCTGACTAGAAACTCTTCTTCTAAATAAATGATCTCATGTCCTATAGGTCTGTATTGACAGTGAGGTCTTCCCTGTACCCCACTGTGAAACATGCTCCATTCAATTACATATTCATACTTATAGGGGCTCCCCTAGACCAATTCTCTGCTTTGTACTTCTCCAGAAATATACAATACTATATAATCTACTATATTTGTACAATACATATGACTCTGTATGAGTGTGTGTGTGTGTGTGTGTGTGTAGTTAGGCATCACTTAACAGTGGGTTATATTTTGAGAAATGTATCTTTAGTCAATTTTGTCAGTAGGCATGCATAACATAGTGTACTTACAGAAGCTTACATAATATAGGTCAGTCACTCAACATTGCCAATTGATACAGTCAAGAATACAGGAAGCACAAGGTGTATAAGTTTGCTGACCAAGTAACCCAGCATACAGTTTTACAGTTATTTTTTTCTAAGTTGAAGTGGTATAATCTAAAAAATGATTAAAAGTACATTATGATAAATAAAATAAACCTGTAACATTTTCACATATTATTAGTAAGTGCCAGGTAATGTGTATTATTGTATGTGTTACACTTTCACACAACTGGCAATGAAATAGGCATGTTTACGCAAGCGTCACTACAAACATTTGAATAATACATGTGCCGTGATGCTATGATGTATACTATATCTCTATATAATAGGAACTTTTCAGCTCCATTGAAATCTAATGGGAGCACTGTCATGTGTTTGGCCTGTCATAGCACAAAACATCATTAATGTGATGTGGCACACATCACATATGTGGGACAGGAATGTATATAAATGATTGTATGCATCTTATATTTCCTTTTTCCTGCCACCATCAAATAAGAGATAAGCTACTGGATAGCAGAAATTTTGAAGCACACACACACAAAAAAAAGTAAGGGACCGGAGAGATGGCTCAGTAGAATAAGCGCTTCACTGGCAAGAACAAGGGTCTGAGTTCAATCCCCGGTTCCAAAAAAAAAAAAAAAAAAAAAAGAAAGAAAGAAAGAAAGAAAGAAAGAAAGAAAGAAAGAAAGAAATTTCAAAGTACAATTGCTCTATGCAGCATTATATTCTCAATGCTTATAATATTCCTAGGCAACTGACAGGCATACAAATACTAGTTAACTAAATGAATAAAGACATATAAATACTTACAATATAGCAGCTAGGCATCAAGGGCTGTGAAATAACAGTAAAACACAGCATGTCTACACTTAACTTTTACATACGAAACTTTCTAAACAGGAAAGAATCTAGAAAAACTCAGTTATACAGCTATTTCAGTGAAGTAGAATAGCTGAAATGATTCACTTTCTGCTAGCATCATTAGAGTTGAAAAAATTCATTCTAATTAGAATTCAGAGACTACTTAAATTCCCCCTAAAGAACAGTAGTGTGCAAACAAACCTCAGCTCAAGAGATTTGCTTCAGCTTTCCTTACCTCTACCTTTAGATATTTTTCCCTTATTCTTTTCTTTTCTTTGGGGGACTATAGTTCTACTCTGCCCTGCTTTTCTTCTTCAGTTCTCTATTCCATCAATTATGTCTGCCAAGCAATAATTATACCTTTTATAACTCCCATTTTCTACTAAGATTTTCACTTCTCAGACACTCCCATTTTCTTGATTTCTTAAAATCTTCAAACTTTAGTCTTCTCTTCCCTTGCCCTTTGGGCAACAATTTATCGATGAAACAGTTGTTTTCACTACCTCCATATCCTGACCACCACCACTAAAGAATTGTTTCTGAAGCAACTTTTTATGTTAAAAATCTGGAACATTGTCATGCCCAGATTATACAACCTGAAATCCTGATTTGGTGGGATTCTCTTGGGATATGGGGACTAAATATAAGTATGTTAGTTTAACCAGTTCCCTAAGAGAGCCTAACATAACTAACCAGTTCCCTAAGACAGCCTAACATATACACCAAAGAACCATTACCTCAATACTTTTTTTCTGGTCATAATATTGATATAATCCACCAAACAAGAAGCATAATTAAATCAACCCTGCACCAAAACCAGAAAGAAAACCACCTGGTCATCAAATCCAAGTGTTTTCTCTCCACTCTTTACAGGATATGACACTACTAGCTTTAAGTACACTCTGTCCTTAAATTCAGAATTAGAGGAAAAAACAAAAAATTGAGGAAGAAGTCTAAGGTGAGGAAAGTTCTAAGAGTAAAGATAGAATTACTATGGATCAGTTTGGAATTTTTTTCAGAAAGTGGGTTTGTAGACAACAGGAGATATAGAACTTTAAAAAACTTCAGGATTCTAGTCATCTTACATGTGCATAAAATTTTATTTGTGAAAATTGAGTACTAACTTGAACTGTTTGGGACGGACAATGGTTAACATTATTTAAAAATGTGACATGGACAAAAATCACCTCTCCATTTAGGCAGACAAGGGAAAAATTATGTGAGGGAAGAAAAAGAGAGATTACTAATAACTATGATAGGTTCTCTGCAATTACAGAAACCTGGACTAAATAGTAGTTCCAACTCATTTTTATACTAAAGAATCAATTCCATTCTTTTACAAAATGAGTAATCATTTGCTCATGAGATTCTTTCTAGTGGACGTCTATTCAGGAAATGAAAACTGGGGGTGTGGATGAGAAGACTCAGTGAACCTGATGAGGAGCTATTGGAAGTTAATTCCTCTTACAAGCCAAGGTCACTGGAAGATCAGTTATACTAGTGAAGCTAAAAGAGAAGTCAAAGATAAAGTCTCAGAAATGATCAGACAAAGCCTATCATATCAGGAAATCCTATAATGCTAAGAAACCCATTAGCCAAAGGCTCAAACTTCCTTGAAATTTAGGACTGTAATACAACTAATTAAATTATAGCTCTGTTTAGTTATATTAGCCTTCAAAGAATAGCACCTGGTAAAGTGTATTTATTTGCAGTAGTTGGTAAATTCCACCAGTAACCTATTTATGTCTTCCTACAGATGGTGAATTTTCTGTTTCATGTTGATTTGTTTTTTACTAGAATTTCTATCATAAGTGATACTTTTTAAAACTTGGTCATTTTATGACTCTTATTTTCCCTTTATCTGCAAGGTTTAGCATCTCTTTTGTAAGGATAAACTATGACAAATACATAGGATATAGTTCTGTACTTACTCCTCCATATCGGAATAATGTTGCTCAAAAAATAAATACAACTTCAGGGGCCTGAATTTCTTCTATTATCCTATGAACTTTATGCAAAATGAACTATCTTTCTATCAGCATTTATTCAACTCTAATCACATGCAAGGAAACCTTGGTTGTTGGTGTGACACAGCAGACTGAGAGGCTCTAGTAGCAAAAAAGAGATAAAGTCAATGGTATCAATTTAATAGGAACGGAGATGATTAATTTGGAGTGGCCAAGTTTTTCCAAGATTTGAAGAAAACTGAATCCTGAATGATGGATAGGAGTTTATTAGGCACTAGAAGAGGTAATGTTACCACCTAAAGGCTTAAAATAACAGGAAGGAAAAAAATAGTAAAATAACAATAAAACAAAAAGAAATTCTATTTCCTTCATATCTGAAGTGGAACAATGATATGTTTAAATATACTTCAGATCTGAAAGTAAATGTTTATAAAACAGGATTCACAATTAAGGGAAAGGGGTGGAGGAGGAGGAAGTTCAATTTGCTTTTTTTTGGTATTAAGTTAAAATAATGAGCAAAAATATCAACATCTATGCTTAGTAACACATATCACGTTTTACAAAAGATTTTAAATTGCAAATGAAAGCCTATGAACCCTTATTTAATATAATTATTTGCTCTAGTGTTTTGTCTCCCTAATGTCATTTTCAAAGCTTCTAAAGTGAGTGCCCAAGATCTTGGCTGCATGCCCTCAGTAATACACTCTTGATTGAAATAGTCCTCTAACTAACTTTTCAGTAACCCTAAATTGTGCACCCTCACATCCTTCAGTCTGGCTGTACCTGACTCTCAAGAGGGAATAATTTAACTCTAAGTTGTGTCTCTTCACCTCTTCATGCATTTATTCAACTATTTCTCTTCAAATTTTATTTTATTTTCTATTTTCTAAGGAACTAGTTGAAACAGTATGGGTACAATCACAAAACCAACAGTCATAGCTAGACCGCGCGCAGGCGCGCGCGCGGGGGCACGCACACATACACACACACACACACACACACACACACACACACACACACACCCTCTCTGGGCCGTTTCACCACTGATCAAAAGCAGCAGACCAGGAAGAAGGAAAAAGCTGAAGCAGGAAGGTTGTTCCCTTCCTTTCACTCCCCCACACTCCCTCCAGCCCACTCCCGCCAGATCCAGTCCCGAAGGGCCGCATCCTGACTTCGCAAGCACCCCACACCCACACCCACACATCCGCCCCCGATGCCACCCGACACAGCCTCCAAAACAGTTACAGCCTTTGTTAAAATGTTCTCAAGCACAATGGACCAGAAGAGGGACACATTCCCGGGGGCGGGGTAAAAGAAAGTCACACAAAGGCCACACCCTCCTTGGCAATAACCCAGGCCAACAGCCCACCTCCACTAAAACCTCTCCCCAGCCTCAGGGAACTTTCCGGCAACTCTGCACTATGAAGGCAGAGCAGGGCAAAGGAATGAGCCGGGGACCTCGCTCAGGGGCAGGAAGCACGGGGACTGAACTTAAGCTGGGACACCTTCCAGCTCCCTTGGCTAGTCTCCCAGCCCTGCCAAGCCTGTGTGCAGACTTCTAGCCCTTGGAACTCTTTCCTTCTTTTTCGCATACACACCCTTGCCTACTCCCGCCACCAGGCACTCTTCTCCGCACGCTGCCCTGACAGGACATCCTCAGACAGGGCCCCCACCAAGGCAACCGCATGTCTAGTCAGTTTCTCCTCACCAGACGGAAGGCACTCACACTCCGATTCTTCCCGGAGCTTCAGCTCAGAACACGTTCCCCCAGTCGTTCCCCCAGGGCTGCACTTCCAACGCACTTACCACCGGTCCTTCTCCGCTACTCCGCGCTCTGCGAGCCACACAGGGCGCCTGCGCGCTCCCACAACCGCTGAGCTTAGCGGGATCCAGAAGCCTGGAGCCGCCTGGAAGGGAGGTAGAAAGCCAGAGGTTGGACTGGGGCGGGGTTAGGAAAGAGAGGGAGGGGCTAGGAAGAGTGGTAAAGGAGGGGCGGGGCCAGGCTGAGTGGGAAAAGGAAGAGTGGAGTTGGCCGCCTCTACTGCCTCTGCAGGGAAGACCAACTGCCTGTGCATCTGGCTGGAACGCTTGCCCTCTTGATGCCTATTTATAACAATGACAGGAAAGTCCAGGAAGCCCCTCTGTAAACTCCCACACCTAACCTACAGCAAATTTAGTTTGGCAAACAGCCAGTCAGCCTTTGGGCCGCCACGCTTCTCCCTCAAGCCACTGAGTCCCCACCAACTTTTCGCCTTTTCATCTCAAATTGTGCCTACCTCAACACACATATTTTTCCTCTGCCATTTCTCATGGAGATAAGTGTTCAACCCGTGTGTGTGTGTGTGTGTGTGTGTGTGTGTGTGTGTAGAAGGACATTTCTCATCCACAGTGCTGACACAGGTCACTACCCAGCCCAGACTCTGATTGCTGACTATTAAATGAGGTCATCTTTGAGCGGTTTCTAAGAAGCTTTCTTAGAATTTGACTCTTAGAACTCTGAAAGGCCCTCTTAGAAACAGGATATAAGGCATTATTATGTATATGGACTTTAACCTAATAGTTGAATGTTTTGTGACATTTAGTATTTTAGGGAGTCTAACATTATTCCATGCTGTATGACTATTTGGTTTTAAATTCCATGCTTTTCTGCTGACACTCCGGTCAGCTGTGGCATGATATGTCACATGCCTTCCTATCAGCTATTAAAATAAACACACACTTCACTGAATCCAAAGTGAACTGATATGGGCTTGAAGTGATTTATTCCAAATTGATTTATCCTTAGTTTTACTTTAGGTATGATAGAATTAAAATCATTTGGCTTAAGAATTCACAGAGAGACACAACAAGTAGGCTTTCCTAGAAGGTATTTTTTTAAAGGAAAAATTTATTTTTTAATAATTTTATTGAGAAGCAAATAGCAATGAGACAGCCTCAAAACTGATTACTAGCACAGTTTCACTAAACAATACATTGCATATTGTTTGTTGTCTTAGTGGTCATTCATTGTACAAGATGCAGACATGATATCCTGTTCACAAACACTATTAGGACAAATCTCTCTATTCAGTGATCCAAGAGAATGCAGCTGTGTGTGTATCTTAACTCTTTTGAATATACAGATACAAAATGGCCATTCATTTGTATCCCCCTTTTTTGTTTAGTTTTGTCAGAGAAAGGTATTCCATTGTCATTTAAATATTGTAGGTGCCTGAATTCAGCAAAATAGTCCAATATAGTCCAGTAGTCCATAATAGTAGTGGGTTTTCCAGAAGACTGGGTGGCTGGGGGGATGGCTCAGTGGAATAAACGCTTGCCTGGTAAGTGCCAGGGCCTGAGTTCAATCCTTGGTTCCGCCAAACAAAGAGAGAAAAAAAAGAAAAAGAAAAAAAGAAGTTGTTGACTTGAGCCTTTTACAGCTGAGGATACTAATATGGCTTTACCCTCTATACTCCATTGCCACACTTCTCTGCTGGATGGTCAAGACCAAGACAAAGGAAGACCTATATAACAAGTAATGTAACTTTTGCATCTGACGAGATCAGTTAAATCTCCTCAGGATTTATCCTGAAACCCTGTTCCGCAGTTTGTAGATCCTTTGTGAGTGTCAGCCATGTGGATGAGTCACAGCTATTGCCCTAGCAAGTATTTTGATTGTGACTGGGACATTTTATGCCACTGAGGATCTGAATATTTTTAAATTCTCCACACTAACCTCTGTGATTCTTCCATTTGTGTATTTTACAACTTAGGCTTTCTTAAATGCTTGTCTATTTTGCATTTATCAAAGAAGCTTAAGGAGAACATAAGGAGAACTTACTGAAGAAAAGTATGTTGGCAAATGGAGACACAAATTTTGTATGAGTAAATCTATAAATACAGGGAAATAAAATCTGTATTTCACTAGTAAAATTTCCATATGCAGAAGATACTTTAAAAGCACATTAGTCTAGTAAAGGTAACTTTTTCACCTGTAGTAGGTATGTATATGCAGGTTTCTAAATTTTTAATTTGATTATTGGGTTTATTTTCTACTGGTTTTTCTGAATTTTTCAGGTTATTTTGGTTGTCATAACAAATGCTAAATTGAACTAGTTTAGGCAAAAGAGAAAGTTATTGTGTAACCCATATTGTGAAAGGGTAAGTCTATTATTGGCCCTGGGAATAAATGGAATCAACAACTAGAATGTTTCAAATTCCAACTCAGGATTTATCTTATCTCTCTCAGACAGGGTCACTCTTTCATAACCTCCCAAAGTCACTTTATGCAGCCTAAAACCATAGCTTCTGATAAGTTGTGACATCATGCCTACCTAGTTCTATCAAGACAAAAGTTGTCCCTCTTACCTTATTTTCAATTTCAAAATACCAGATAGAATCTGATTGGGTAGGGATTAAGTAATCACTGATGGAGATAAATTGTGTGTGAGATAAAACAGAAAAGTAGGACTTGAACTTGAATAACATGGTTGGAGAAAATTATATGAATACAAAGGAAAAAGGGAAACACTCATTTTGGAAAAAAAAGCACTGCATATACTAAAATAAACAAAAGCTCAAAATATTTGCTATAAAATATCTTTGTTTAAGGAATATAACTTTCAGATTATCTTTGACCTCTCTATTCCCCCACCCTTGTATTTGAGTATTTATGAATCATTCTAACAAAATCTCTTTAGTAGCTTTCTATGGCTACTGCATAATTGCCACAAACTGCCAGGTGTGGTGGTACACATCTGTAATCTCAAAACTCAGGAGGATGAGGCACAAGGATCACAAGACTGAGACCAAACTGGGCTACGTAATGAGAGATACTATCTCAGAAAAGAAATTACCACAAATTCAGTGACTTAAAAACAACACAAATTTATTATCTCATATTTCTGTTTTGTTTTTGGTGCTGGAGAGTGAATGCATGACCTTATGCTTGCCAGGCAGGCACTTATGCCACTGAGCTATCTCCCCAGGCCTATGTCATATTTTTGGAGACAATAAATGTAAAATAGTCATGCTGGGGCAAAATTGAGGAGTCAGAAAGAAGTGAAACTTCTTTCTGGAGGCTCTTTAAGGAGCTCTTTGTTTTTACCTTTGCCAGATCTAGAAACTGCACAATTCCTTTCATTTCAAGAATCATGATCCCAGGGCCAGCGAGATAGCTCAGTGGATTAAGCACCTGCTTTGGCAAGCACAGGGACCAGGGTTCAATACCGGGTCATGTATGCCATGCCAGCCTCAGCCCTGGGGTGCACAGAGCTGGCAATTGAGCCTGGGGATGGTGGTACATGCCTGTAATCCTGGTACTGGGGAGGCAGAAAACAGGAGGATAAGTATGAGTCTGAGCTGCCTAGTGACACCCTGTATCAAATACATAAATGGAAAAAAAGAATCATTATCCCTTTCCATTTCTAAAACTAACCATAATGTTACTCTGACACTTCTACCTACTTTATCCACCTTTCTGGACCCTTATGGTTATATTTGTCACATCAGATAGCAGAAAATAATTTTACTATCTGAATATTGGCTAATTGTTGATATTAATTATATCTATAACTTTAATTCTTCTTTGTAACATCCGACATATTTTAACAGGTTCTGATATTAACTATCATGGTTTGGGGTTCTTTCAAAGGGAACAATATAATACAGGACACATTTTATAATATTAGTTTATAAGGAATCAACCAAGAATCATATAGGACAAGTGCAGGAAATCTACCCACACACTAAATACTAAAGAATCCAGCTGAGAGCCTGGATTTTACTTCACTGATGTGTGCAGAAAGGCCCAAAGGTCAGTGGTGGAAGCTAGGAAGTCTATGCCAGCAGGATGGAGGATCTGTGCTAGCGGGCTGAGGGATCTGAACTAGAACCAGGAAGTAGCACTCAAAGTATGCACCAGCGCTCCCCCAAAGGTACCATAGCCATCCTCAGCAACAGTGAGGTCCCGAGCTCCTCAAGTGATGAGGAAAGCCAAGTTCTCATTAGGAAAGCCAGTGTGCCAAGCTTCTCTATGAGGCTGAGCAGTACACCATCTTCCCCTCTGGAGCCAGGAAACAATGCTCAAGATAAGGACCAAATCTCCTCCAAAATTCATCAGGAAAGCCAGCAGGACCAGGCCCTCCAGCAGAACAGCCCAAGAGAACTAGCAGCTTCCAGAAGCTCCAACTGCTTCTCTAAACAGTATCCCAAACAGTGTTCCTGCAGCTTCCCCTGTTCTGCCTTTATGCTGCTGGCAACAACCCTCAGCTGGGCCTCTCACACCCAGCACCACACTAGTTTAATTCAGCTGGGTGTAATAAGTTGACCACCTGTTAGTATTCCACTACATTAACACATAGGCATCTATCTAGGGGTACTATCCCCACCATAGCATTTATGTGTTACTAACAAAGTCTATGTCACTGGCTATAAAATAGGATATTTTTTTTAAATTACTGATTTCAGGATTACACTCCGAAATATTATTAGTTAATTGATCTGGAGAGTTCCTACACACACACACACACACACACACACACACACACACACACACACACAGCTAATTAGATCACAATGGAGCATCACACTAATGTTAGGCCAATCAGAGCTTCTGGGGATATTTAGAACAGGAGGGAGGATTGGTGACACTGAGTACTTGCATATCCATTTTGGAGCTGTAGGATCAGAATAACTAGAGAAAACAAGAGGATTGGGAAAGAAAAAAGGAAAAACAGATAGGAGGCAGAGTTGAGCCTGGATCCTCCATGCTTTTCTGCCTCATGGATTGCTAGACTATTACTGAGTCCATA